CCACACCTCGCTGGAAGCGATAGCCGCGTTGAAGCCTAATTGCGATTAAAAGGTTATTTTTTATGAATTAATTAATTATTTAATTTGCCGTTTCCCCCTCCTCCACCCATACTGCAGATGAAAGGATGCAAGGGATAGCCTGGGTCTAGCGGAGGTGACAGCACCAATGACTTCAGGACGTGGTCCCATACCTGCAGAATTTCGGCACTTTCTTGGGGTGTCACTTTTCGGGGGACCCACAGCACCACAGCAGGGCAGGTCCCAACAAATGCAATGCACCGTCATGGGATCCCAATGCGCTGCCAATACACGTGCGATACAGTTTTGCCCCATGCCTTCTGTAGTTGCTGCTATAATTTACCATATTCCTCAATCTTACTTTAGAAAATAGCAGCTAGAGGACATAATGACGAGTGAGGGGTCTCTTGTTTTAAGAATTGTATGTTGGTATTTTAAGAATCCAGCAGGCTTACAGTCAGAGGCACTATTCTTGGTGGAATTTACACGTATCCTTGACTTTATGTGTTATTGGTAATCCTATTGAAATCTGTATGCATAAAGTTAAGTGCATCTAATCAACTCTGTAGGTTCAGGATTGTATATATTAATTTAATTTAGACTTCAGTATTTAGAACAGCATTTGCAATGAGAAGGTACAGCACTGTGATAGCCCATAACAATCTCAAATGTTGTTTTACTATTAAGTGCAAAAAAAAAAAAAAAGAAATTGAGGTGTCCCCTATTAGTCTTAGAGATGAGCAATGCACATGAAGTTAAATCAGATGTTCAAAGTTATTTTAGGGTCCCAATTATCAGTGTAGAATGTATTTCAGTGGAAATTTTTCCTATGGGCCTCTGTGCATATCACAGCTCCATAGCAGTGCAGGAGTCCATGTTTATGGATCCATTTTCAGGATCAAAACCCTCATCAGTAATACAGATTAATGGTAATTATAAATATAAATAACTTGAGTGTATCTTCTCATTTTCCTCCGAAGACATTGCTCACAGAAGCTAGCTAAATGCCAGACTTGTTCCCTGAATCCAAACTGTATTAAGTTCTTGTGTAACGGTGCAGTAACATAAAGTTAAATAAAGCTGCATAATTTTTTTTCAAGCCTCAAAACACTGAGCTTGATTCTCAGCTAGAATAAATTGGACACCGGCGCAGGATTCAGGTCCCTTTTTCCATACTAAGGAACTGAAAAAGTAAAAAAAATAAATAAATTGCTTTTTGGCTAAGAACAAAAGAAAGAATTTTAAATCTGAGGGATCATTTTTCACGATGTTGTAAGTACTGAAAATACGGCTTTATAATAAGAGCACTTTTTTACCCAGAATTCTGTAATTGCGACTGTGAAGCTGTAGCACAAGCTGGGCTGTGGCTGAATGTTTTCCCCAAGATCCCTGGGAGATAAGGGTTGGTTTTTAATGTGGCTTCCTGAAGTGTGTCAAAACTCTGATGTTATTTAAAATGTGGCTCATCTATACTACCCTATGGAATATTTACCGAAGTCCTCAACTGGTTGGTCCTGTCGGTGCGGAGCATGCTGCAGGATGAGTGCCCTGGAAATGCGTGTGGTGCCAATTAGTTCAGTGTCCCCACACAAATCAGCAGGACCCGTGTGTTGGGGCACGTCTGCATATGCAGCCTGTGGGGCAGCTATTTCCAAAGAGGTGTTAGAAATGACCAGCCCCAAAAAATCATAACTTGGGTTAATCAAGGGGTAACTGCAAGTTGTTATTCATGAGCAGAATATATGCACAGTAATGTTTGCTCAAAATTGTGAGACATTTTTACCTGGAATATCTAAATGCCAGTTTTTACACAAAGCAGAAAAGGAGCTCGGGAATCGGAGCCCACGTTTACCATCGGGCCACAAGTGATCCATGGGAGAAGCCAGCGCTTGCTGCCTGCCCTGCCAGCCTCCTCGCTCCTGCGCACGGTGTGCAGGAAAGCAGCGGTGGAGCAGATGCCTTGAAGGGGAAGCATGCTCTTTTTGTTGAGTGTCATCAGCCCCTGTATGGCTGAGCTGCAGGTCAGAGCAGGGAACGGAGCTACTGATGGTTATGTAAAGAAAGTACATGAAGCTCCTTCACCCCAGTGCTTCCCTGAGTTGAGGAGCTTGAAATGCCACGTCGTTTTATTTTGAAATTTAAGTGTGAAAATAAGAAAGACTCTTTTTTTTTTTCTACATTTACTGCCGTTTCCAAAGATTTTACCATTCACGAGGCATGCAAGCGCTCATAAGACCTGGCTCTGAAGTGCAGTAGAGAGGATGGGTGAGCTTCAGCCCGGCAGAGAAGCAAACCATTAGGGTCTGCACAATGCACCCAGTTAAGGCCTGGGGCCACGTTTCTTACTGTGCCTGCGGACACTTTTATAGGGGTTGGCGCATTCAGCGATCCCATGGAGTAACAGGCAAAACCAGCCCATATACTTCAGTGATGAGTCACTTCTTACACAAAAGTTGTTGGATGACATAGGCACATGATCCCTCTTACTCTCACACACACACAGAGGATGTAGTCCAAGTGTTTGATGATGCTGGTGGAGAGGAGTTCTTTTTTCAGTGTACGTCGTGTAGCACGGTCATATTTTGAGAATGCCACTGCAGAGTTAGGTAAGAGCCAAAAAATGCTGCCCATGCTCTATTTTTAAGAACAACCTGAAATTATTTAGCAGTTGAAGAAAAAACCAAAACAGTTCCCTCCCGGGTGGAATAAATAAGTCTCTCGGATCAATCCCTGGTGTACTTCACAAGAAACAATGAGACAAGTATTCCATCCGAGCCCCCATCTAAAACTGGCTCTTCCATTTCCTACGGCCGGCGGTTTTCACTTGGGACAATCCTAGGGCTGGCAGGGGAGTCGCCTGCGGCCGAGGCGGAGCGCGTGTGCGGGGAGGGTTCGTGCAGAGCTGCGACGTGCATCCAGGAAACATTAAAATAGCAATGTGCCTGCCGTGCGTGCGTGCTGCAGTTGGAGAAACACTGAGAGTGTGAAGTCTCTAATTTGCTTTCTGGCTCTGCTGCGGCTGTCCAAGGCGAATTTGGGGATGTTGTTAGATCTGCCCATCCCTGGGCACCCCTGAGTGCCAGGAGGCGCAGCAGGGTGCGTGGGGGAAGGCTGCGTGCCCGTGAGCATCCCGAGGGGTGCCGGCTGCCCCAGGGCTGGGAGGGGTACGGGGCTGCCCCGGGGGGGATGCTGCCGCCCCGGGGGACCCTGCCGCGTCCCGCTGCAATTTGGGAGGGAGCTGCATGGTGGAAAATATGACCGGTGCCAGGAACTAACGGCGGGGGGGGGGTGGGGGGGGGGGGGGGGG